TTCAGGGTGCTTCCGTAGGATTTTATTGTCAGTGAAGTTCATTCATCGAATATATACCGTGACTGCGGGTTATTCTACTTATTTAGTCTTTACACGCAAAAAATGGGGGGCCGGACATTCTAGAAATGTTGTTCAAGCTATGATGGGGAGTTTTTTTTTGTTTTCAGTGAAAGTTTTCGAAATTAAGACACGCCGTAGTGGACCTTGTCCTAAATAAATCAACGTTTCACAAAAGTCGCCAGGTCTTTTTTAAAGTTTAGCATTTGACTTTGATACGGCGGCTCACGTTTACCACTTCTAAACTTATGTTTTGCACCGATGTCGTAGTTGAATGGAGTACAGTCATTCAGATCAGCGCTTCGTACTTAAGCATGCCTTAGCTAAATTTGGCAGTTCGGGCGGATTGATTAATTTTTTGTTATTTTTCCCTAATCTACGAAAATCAAGGCTAGCATTTGTTAGGGGGAAACAGTCCTGTTTTTTTTTTTTTTTATCTTCCATCTGGTTAGCCAAAAATAGTGCGTCGAAGACAGTGGTGTTTCAGCGTATTGATATGGACTGTCTTTTGTGTGCTAAACAGCGAGGATTTAGCAGAAGTCAACAAGCACATCTGTGTGGATTATTTATACAGAGTTGTCTGCTGAGGAACACAAATCGGAGAGCTGTTAATCTGAATGATGCATACAATATCGCCGATGCCGGGGGAATTTACTTTCCTTCCAGCGAGAGCGTAAAACTGCTGAGAGTTGTGCTGAGGCAGCTGCGCGACTCTGAAAGGGTGGAATGTGAGCTGCGGGCTTGGACAGCCCACCTGAAGACGAAAATAATGTGTTAAGGAGAGGAGAAAAACAGGAAGTGCCAATGAATAGTTTTAGTTTTGAAGGAAGCGATGGCAGAAGAGAGAGCTGCAATAAAGAGGCAAGGAGGGAAGGACCCGCGAGAAAGAAGGTAAGGCATGTGGCGACCGAAACTTGTGTACAGAGGCGCACATATCAGAAAAATGTGGAGTGTTTCTGGAAGTAGCGGAAGTGGAAGGGGCGGACGATGTATACTTGCAAGGAAGAAGTTAAAGGAGGTGATGGTCAGGGAAGACATTGGGTTAATACGAATGCGATCGCGGGAAGACGAGTAAAAAGATATGAATAATGAGCTTCGGCAAAGGCGGAAGCGACCGCGTAAGGTGGGATGAGGAGGAGGAAGTGAAGAGCATGAATCCGCTTCGACAGTTGATCAGATCGTGTTATCAATGCAGTTCGGTCGATGGACTACAGCTATTTCAGAGTTACTGAATAAGATGTTAGACGAAGAAGTTTTCAAACATAAAAACTAAGAGGTGAAAAAAGAACTAGTTAAATTCCCTAAATTCATACGAAAGTTCGAAGCTCATACTGGTTTTAAAGTTGCATGTACATTACGACGTATACATATCATTTCGACTTGTTTCAGGAAACGAAACAGGAGAAAGACAAAGAAAACGAAAATAATGGGA